TGGGAAAAAGGCATATTTTAAAAGTCTGTCAAACTTTCAACATAATATTTGCCCTTTAATAGGAAAGGATGGGAAGTAATATTAATAAATCAGTTTCTCAAAGTTGTTAACCCAAAATAAAGACTGGGCAGGAAGCAGTCATGTAAGACTCCAGTAAAAAGCAGCCAGTAACTTTTTCCACTTCAAACATGTCATTAAGAAACTGTTTAGTCATTTTACTTACGTTACTCTGTAACTTTTGGTTTTTCATCATAGTATTTCCATGTCTTTTTACGGTAGCAAAATTTGATAAAAACAAGGCTGCAGGGATGGCCTTGCATCACTGAGCAAGCTGGACAGTGCTGGCTGGATCTTTACACTGTCGCCTATGGAACAGTCTTGGGGTTTGTGTGTTCTGCTTTATAAAAGTTGGATTAAAAGAAGAGTTTATCAGTTTTAAAGACAAATTCATTGGCATAGAAATGTGTCTTTAGGCTCTGTTTCATAAAATTCTCCCAATCAATAACCTATGGAGCTTATCAGTTCTTTACCACTGGGGTCTGTATAATGTTAAAAACCTATTAAAATAAATATTATTTTAAAACATATAAAAACATTATTAAGCAGCCTACCAATTAAAATGTAATTGGCTGCATCCTCTGTACAACAAGAACCTCAAAAAGCAGCTTAATCATTGATTATAAGAGCATTCCTACAAAATACCAACGTGGAAAATTTCATTTCAAAATTTCTTCTGTAATGAGAGTTACAGATTTAAAATTCTATAAATAGATTTGACTACTTGGTGTTGCAGAAAAACACTGTAGAGACCCTCTACATTCTAATATCTCAAACTCAAATTTCAGAGTTCCTCTCTTTTTCTAAATGGAAATCTTTTCCTTTACCACTAGGAGCATGCAATGATACAAATCCACTTTTACCAAGGGCTGTAGAAAACTGAAATTTCAGCATCTAAGGTAAGTGTAGAAACAAGATCAGCCACTCACTAAATGCACACTGGGTTAAGTGTAACAGTTCTAAAGGTACTTGAGGGCAGTTAAGATTACATTTCACAGTGTTTAGAATTCTGCACCTATGTTAAATCTGATGTATTAAATTTCCACGAGGATGGGCTACTAATGCCTGAATAAAACCCCACAAAATACTGGCTTATATCTAAAACTCTGGACAAATCCTTAGGTGACACAGCAATAATAGGCACCATTCCAAAACAATTATTCTCTCAGGTAATGTTTTCTTTCAATTACAATGTAGAACTCTTAAAACCAAGTAAGTAATAATTATGAACAGTTAATAATAAGGAAACAAAGAATAAGTATAAATGTTCAGATTTGTTCATGAATATACAAATTAAATATTTACAAAGCATGAATTTTAAATAGGAAAGGCTTTTGTCCTAAAAGTGTGACCTAGTGCTCAAGTATGTTTTGTTAATTATTTTAATGGCAACATTTTAAAGTGTTGTTTTCTGTAGTTTAAAATAAGGTGTGACTAGATTAAATATGCTTTAAATATCTTTGAATAAAAATTGAGAAGTTATATGGTGGCAAACCCTGTTCATCAGTAGCAATTTGTATAAAATATTTAATAGCATATATCTTCTCCAATTTTACATAACACAAACAGAAAACAAACAAAGCAGAGAAAGCAAAAGGAAAATATGGTTTTTTTTTCAGTAGAAATTATTTCCCTATGAAAGATTCAGTTTAAGGGCTATATTCAGTAGAAAATGCCATGCCCTCTGACTTAATGGATTAAAAGGTTTTCCACCATTACCATGACAACCTTTTGAAAAGTCAGGGTTTTGAATCCAACTAGTGAAAGTCAATGACCAGGACGATAGTTTTGATTGTGAATCTGCCCAAGTCCTTGAATCCTCCAGACCTTACTAATGGCTTCCATTCATGACACACAACTCGTCCTGGACTCTTAGGAGCTAACCCCTTTGCTTATGGCTAAGGAACTTGAGGTGGACAGGACAGGTGACTCCTCCAAGTTCTATGGCTCATTAATGACAGAACCAGAATGAAGATCCAGGTCTCCTCCCAGGTTAATTAGTGCTTAAATGTGACTTACCCTCACTTTTTAGAAACCTTTTTATTGCACATTTTCCTCAAGTGGTATGTGTGGCAATCCTGTGTGTGCCATACATGGTAGGGACCAATAATAAAAATATTTTTGAACCAAGTAGACAGTGGTGGCTGATAAGCACTGGCTGGACATTTTTGAAGCCCAATAAATCTTCTCTATTATGCTGGATATTTTAGAAGCTAAATAAATGTCCCCAATTACCCTGAGTTCCAATAAAAATGCTTATTTTAAAAACAGAATGAGCCACTTGTAAATGGTGACAGCTGAGACATATCAAATTAACTGTTACTGTTTCAAGAAAATGAAACTGAAGGAAGAATAATTATTTTTGTTCACTGTTTTCCCTGAGTAGTATATAATTAACCAAAAGTATAAATATGATGTTGATTGATCATCTCTGGAGTGGTTTCATGATACGCGAAGAGTGGAAAAATAATATAAATGTACACTGAATTCTATTCTGATAATTAAAAAAAAGCAAGCCCACATTACAATGAATTCCTTTATATTTAACAGTAGTAGATATACCAGTTTTAAAGTCTTCTACTGTAAGTACCAGAAGCAAAATATTCATCTTTACAACATTCCAAGTAGATAATTCATTTTATAAAGCACAAAATTTATTTTTCTTGAGAAAAATCAAGTTGAAAATTAGAATTATTTCTTTAGTTTTTTTGTGATTATTTCTCCAAATTAGAGGAGAGCCATCCAAAAACCATTTTATAAAAATAACAACTTGATTCAGGGAGATGAAAATCAGTCAAACAAGATATGTAACGTATTATCTTCGAAGTAATTAGAGAATTGATCAAATAACTTGCTTTCTAGACAATAGTGCTATGACTATATTCATTGAGCAAGAAATAAGTTAACAGTGATTTAGGTTTATAGGTTGAGAAATAAAATATATTCAGGTATAGAAATAAATGGTAATTATTTGTAAGTGGCTAGATAGGCTGAACAACAACAAAACACCTGTAAGTTTTAATTAAGCCTTCTTGTTCTCACTTATGACATGCCTAGGCCTGTCTTTTAAACTCTGAATTAGTTTACTTTCTCTTAATAGTGATCAAATCCTCTGCAGCATTAATTAAACTGAGGAGACATTTTGGGGGCCAAATACTTTCCATGAACATTCTTTTCTATCCGCTCACATTATAGAGCGAGCTTAACTTCCATGTATGGGAGAATAGAGAAAATTTATTTAGCTATCTATTCTTTCCTGAGAGGGAAGGGTTAGCCTCATCAGATGGAAGAAAATTTATCTTTATAAAAATAAAAATAGACAAGGATATCTCTAAAGTTCTAAAAAGATACACTGACATTTTTGATGATTAAGACCTCAGAAATTCCAAGTGCATTTGCTTTTCCTTTCTTCTTTAAATGAAATATTACATAGCTTAAGCTAGATTGTTGTTTTTGTCCTTAACTTCTTCATTTGCAAATTTATCAGTGACCAAAAAAAGGAGACAGAAAGAGAGAGAGAGAGAGAATCTCACCATAGACAGACAATTTGCATTTCATTAAAAAATTTAAGGCAAAAAGAAAAATAAATTCAACAAAAGATTGGTCAAATAAGGGTGAAGTCAGGCCTTCTTCCCCCCTCTTCCCCCAGGGCTGAGACTGTGAGGCCAGCTCCACTGCCCGCCATCAAATCCCACTCTCCTGCTTTCAGCTACTGCAACCTTCACAACACTCTGGGATTACAGGAGACACTGAAGTCATTCAAGACAAGATTAATCATGGTAAAAATGGCCCATAACATAAAAGCAAATTTTTCTACTTACAGAACCTAAAACTCATTTTAATGAGTTAACAGCAAAATTTTAAGGTGAGAAGTTAAAAGTTTGAAAATGAATTCATATTACTCTCAAAAAATGCCTTTCAGATGCAGTGACTTTAAGCTTTCATTTTCCCAAAACTTTCCCAAATATAAATTAAACTGTCACAGATAAGAAATTGATTAGTCAGATAGTAACCATACCTAGCGATTTCTCTTTCAAAATCTTTGCGCAATCTACCACTATTATTTTCATAACCCCTTTCTAATTCTATATAATTTATGCTTGATAAATTTCATTTAAAAGTCCAAAGTATTACGAAGTTATGCTTGAGGCCACACAGTGCTTTCTTCATTCTTGCCTTCATTCTCATTCTCTCTCTCTCAAAAAACTTAAAATATCACATTACCAACCTTTAATTATGTTTAAGAAATTGCTCCTTGAAGGGCTCTCTGACTGACACAAGGTAATTAAACTCTCTAGCAAAATAAGCTACCTATAATTTGGCATCCATTACTGTTTACAGTTTCACTATGTATTGTAGTCATTTGAGACATACTTTAAGAAAACCCTTCAAATACTGAGATGTTTATTGCATTTTTAAGTTATCCACATTCTTAAATATCCTGTTTCAAATTCTTCCTAAACTCCTTTACAGCACACAATATCAACTACTGCAATAGTGCTCGCACAATATTACACTTGAAAATACCATTTAAGAACAATATTTTAGGAAATAGAGGGCTTAAGGCAAGACATTCATTTGGAAAAGTTAATTTCTTTCAATCATTCAGATTGATACGATTATTTTTCCACCTCTTCAGTGCCTTGGGATACGCAATGTACATTCAGCAACAGGGCACAAATGTGACCCTGTGGACGTATGCTGAGGTTGTAAGTGCCCATTGAAATATGGAAATATTTTTATATAAGGCGTGGCCCACAGGAACGTGTCATGGGAGGGGTTATTTCACTCCATTTCCTGTCTGGTATACAGGAAATTCCCCACCTATAACCATCCCATTTCCCCCCAGTTAAGCTCTTTTCAAACAAACACAAACCCCTTGAAAAGGTGCTAAGATTGGTTTCTGTTAATATACAAAAAATAGCCGTCAGATCCTTTCCCCATCACTGCTTTAGTGACGAATGTCTGGAGGCTACTTCTTGATTCTGATTGCAAACATTGTTTGTTGTGGAAAAACTGTTCTGTCCCAAAGAATTTTCTCTTTCATCAAACTTTTTGGATTGTGAGAGCTGAACATTTTCATGTGTATTCTTTCCTCTCTGAGTTTTTTTCACCGGCAAAAACAATAATACTGAGAGACCAACAATATGCAGGCAGTAATACCAGGAGCTAAAAAAAGAATGAAAAAAGTTTATTTTATTACATTTTGATAATAATCCTTAATAACTGCACACTTGTCAAAATGTCACTCACCAACCTCTCCCCTTAGGATGTGTCTATTTACTGTGTTATTCTCTCATTTTGCCCTCTTAGGACAGGAAACTCTAGAGTGTAGGCCAGGGGTATTTATAAAGGCTGGATGGGCAAGACACTAGGTATCTTTCTTACATTCCTTATACGGGACACAAGGTCATGGCTACACAGAACGAAAAGGTATTTATTAATAGCGACAGAAATCTGAAAATCTCTCCAATCCACTGAGTCAAAAGGTGAGTAAACAAAGAGTATTGGTATAGCAAAGACTTTCCTCCCCTGCTATTTACTATCTCTAAGTTACAAACATTCTAACAAGGTAAGAGATAAGCAATATTGCTTCTTGATGGTTACTTTCACAAAATAAAGAAAGGTCAAATTATAAAAAACATTACTAGAATCATCATCCCCCAAATAAAATATATACCAAATGTAACCTAAATGCTTCTACAGCTGGAAATTCAAGTGATTCTAAACAAAGTACCTGGGAAAGAAAATCTAACCAACAGCTCAATCACATTTAAAAAATACGTAATAATTCTGTTAAAATGGAAATTTTAGCAGGATTTCATGTTCTACTGTATGCTTATTGTCACATCTGACTCAATAATTTATGGCCCACACACTGTGTGCTAAATCATTCTAAATGTTAGAGTAATGAAAAATTTATGGGAAGAATAAAGTTTTTGATGTCAAGAATATCACGATCTAATATGGGGGGAGGAATTTGATGGGTCAGGGAGTAGAGATTAAGCAGATAAACAAAAAATATGGAACTCAAGACAACAATTTCTATAATATAGAGATCACCATGGTACCAACGAAACATAAAAGAGTAACAAAAAGGAAGCAAATAAATAAAATATAAGTAATTTTCTTTTAATTAAAGAAATTAAGATAATTAATAATTCTTTGTAAAGAACTGTCTTTTCCAAACAGGTTGAGAACAATTACCTATGAGGTTCTTCATTAAACCTTTATGAGAGATTTGAGACAGTGGTTATATAGCTGGCATTTCTCCATCTAAAGCACATTCTCATCTGAGGATGGAGTGGTATGACTCATTCCACAAAGAACTTGAGACTGCTTGGTTTAGGATTAAAAAAGTAACTGATAATGCATTTAGCGGCAGGAAATGAGGCTATGGTATTATTTTTCTGTTCTACCAAGCAAGAAACTTTTTAAAAAAATAAAGTTATTCCCACTGAAAAATTTGTTAGAGCAATACTTACCTGTAAAACATGAATGATGGTTTTACAGAAAGAAGTACAAATGGCACAACTGTGTAACTTATTGCTATTTGAGTTACTATCCACGTTCCAACATCATAAAGTAATTTAAGTTGGGGAGGTTCGATGAAATAATGTCTAAAGTTATTTCTCATCTGAAATAAAACAAAAATATTTGCTGTATCTTTAAATTAACATTATTTATGCAATTACACTGGTGATATCAACTGTTTCAAAGATGTGGAATAACTGAAAGTCTGCTACATTGCTGGTGGGAGTCTGAAATGGCACCACCATCACGGGAAAAGTTGGTTCCACAAAAACTAATGCACACATGCATGGGAGTGGGGGGTGAGGAAGCACACAGGGAAAATGAAACAACTGGGTAAAGGGTATATAGGAGTTCTTTGGGACTTTTCTATAGATTTCATATTGTATTAAAAGTTTTCCCAAAAAAGTTAAAAGCTACCCTGCCTAGAGCTTCTTAAATCATATTTAGTAAATTACAGTATATAAATCAAGTTTAATCTATTTCAAAGTTACTTTTTGTTTAACCTTCTGCATTTGTGAAAGACAAACAGATGCTTAGGTCAAATAGCACTTACTTAAATAAATGACTAACACACACATCATTCATTAATGGAAGCTGGGAAGAGCTTCTCAAAAAAAGATGTTGTCTAATAGCCACTATTTCTTCGATGCCTTTTTTTTTTTTTTTAGCTTTCAAAATAGTCAAAACATCTCAGTTTTGATTTTTTTTCTATTGTATTCCTCACTCTTCTTGTCTTATGTTTATAGGTGAAACATGCCCCGCTATGAAGATGCCACATGAAATTGTTCAGAGGTGAGTTGGTGAGTGGTTATTTTTTTTTGTTTCTATTTACCTACTTGCCTACTTATTTATTTATATATTTATTTTTAGAGATGGGTCTCACTGTCACCCAGGCTGGAGTGCAGTGGCACAATCACAGCTTACTGAAGCCTTGAACTCCTGGGCTTAGGAGATTCTTCTGCCTCAGCCTCCAGGGACTAGAGGCACGCAAGGTGCACGGTTAATGGCTCTTCCATACTGAGACCACCATTCTCGGTGGGAAAAGCAAATCCTGACACCTACCTTCTCTTGCTTAGCTCACTGCCGCAACAGGTACTCACTCTCGATCCCATTCTGTCCACCAATGACAAACCCATTTTCCTGAGGTATGGCTTTCAGCATTCCGTTCCCACGCTTAAAAACCTTGCCGGACTCTCTGGTATTGCAGACAGAACAGGGCTAGGCTCTTTCCCAGCTTGGTGTTTAAGTTCTTCTATTATTTCCCTCCTCCCTTCCCCCATTTGCCTCTCCAGAATTATTCACTATTTATGCACACATGAATTCTCTGCTTCAATTAGATTTACTTGCCATTCCCCAAATACACCATGTGCTTTCAAACTTGGTTTGGCTAACATCCTTCCTATGCCTAGAATGTCATCTTCTCCCCCATTACACTTCACTCACTATTGAAATAACTTTCATCTTTCAAAGCCCAGATCCAAACACTTTCCTAATGAGGCCATCCCTAGTCAACCCAACCAAAAGAGATTTCTTTCATTCATCTCTGAACACCTACGGTACTTACTATCTACAATAACCATGGAATCTATCATATGTGCCTTATGATGCATGAGCCTGCACACACGCACACAAGCAGTATGTATATATACATACATACACCTCATATTCTGAATTAGACTACAAACTACCAGAAGGTATAGCCCTAAACTTCTTGAAGTTTCCCTCATACACCCTCAAGGTACCTTAAAATTGAAATAGCAAATATCTGCTAGTTTGTTACCTATGCGTGCCTTACCTATGAATGCCATAATGAGCTTGTTCAAACACCTTTTTTATCATGTCGCTTTCAAGGACTTTTCCTTTCCTCTCCCATGTCACCACTCTGATCTCTCAATTGTTTCCCCAAGTAATATTCCAGGTTCTAACCAGGCAGACACTCTAAAGAACTGTGCCCCACTTCTAATGTGGTATCTACCACCAGGGACGGCTCATCCAGTCACCTTGGCCTATCCATGGTCTTCTCTTCATCTAAAAGCCAACTCAGAGGTCACAGCTTTCCAGAAACACTTCTAAAATAAACCTACCCATTATGATCATCTTCATTTAACTCAGTTTTTTTCTTTCTCCTTCAGAAAACTCCGTAAAGACAAAGTAACATTCTGTGAGTGCCACCCTGTGTAAAAACATGTCTTCTCACATGAACTAAGCAGGGCGCCTAGCACACGGTGAGTATCCAGTAAACACACACATAGTTATACACCTCACACCTAGGGGAAAATACGATGCTGATCACAGTCAAAGATGTAAGGTCTACCTTGTAAAAGCGATTTACTCAGCCTTCGTAACAGTTCAAGTGGACCACTGAAATATAAAATAAAATTCTTGATACTTACAGCTCGTGCTGCTAATGTCATTAACACCCCTGTTAGAAACGTGAGATAATATCCTGGGTATACCCCATGCCAAATGGCAGAGAGAATGAACGTCTGGATGGTTGGACTGAAGGAGGCTCGTTCATAACACACCCTAGAAACCATGAAAAACACGGACAGCCAAGAAGAGTGAGTGATCTGAGTTTACGAAGCCCACAGTGATCATTCTTTCATTACCTGACAGGATTTAGGGTAACCAGAAAAACAAATACAACTTATCTTAGGCAATAACTAGATCTGTTATCTCAGGGAGGTTATATTAACAGCTATTAAGTGTCAAACTTAGGAAAATAACTTTAATTCTCATCTTCTTACTGGTATATGTAATAACAAATCATTTCTAGTGTTTGAGAGTCTATATAATTTACAA